CAGCAGAGTTTCAGAAAATATATTTACCTTTAAATCATGTTCTCAAGTGACAAAAATAAGCAACACAGTTGGTTTACTCACAAACTTCATGTATTCAGCATACACGTACTTTGATTATCAATCCAGTTACAAGTAGATTTGAAGTAGTCTCTCTGTGTAAGTAACACAGGGCATCTTTCTCATAATCAACCATCCATAATCTAAAGCATCTCTCTGTTTTGAGAGTCTAATAGAGTCTCTGTAGTCTGTTTCAACTAACTTCTAAGAGCATGCATCTATTTCTACTGAAGTCTCTAAGATGAACTGTTTTACATTGAAGTCTAAACTGTACTGTTCTGATGTATTTATTTATTTATTTATTTATTTATTTCTATGCCGCCTTTTTCAGCCCGGAGGTGACTCAAGGTGACTTACAACCGGCACAATTCAATGCCACAATAGTCCTAAATACAATTAAAACACAAGTATAAAAACCATGTAAAAATCATAAAAACATATCACCAGTGGCTTCCTGTTAACTCGTTTTCCAAAAACATTGGCTAAGCTATTCCATTTTCATTCTTTCCTGGGTTCCATATTCATTCATTACGCTGTATTTCCAAAGGCTTGTTCAAAGAGCCAAGTTTTTACCTTTTTTTTTTTTTGGAATGTCAGTAGGGTGGGAGGGAGTTCCATAGCTGAGAAGCCAGCACTGAGAAGGCCTTGTTTCTTGTCCCCGCCTAGAACCCCTGTGATGAAGGTGGGATCGAGAGCAGGGCCTCCCCAGATGATCTTAAATTCCTAGCTGGTTCATAAGAAGAGATACATTCGGACAGGTAGGCTGGGCCAGAACTATTTAGGGCTTTATAGGCTAAAGCCAGCACTTTGAATTGTGCCCAGTAGCAAACTGGCAGCCAGTGGAGCTGGCGCAACAGAGGAGTTGTGTGCTCCCTGAGCGCTGCTCCAGTTAGTAACCTGGCTGTCACCCACTGGACCATTTGAAGCTCCTGCTGGACATACTGTTTCTGCACTGAAGTCTAAAGCCAAACTGTTGTAAACTGGAGTCTGAGTCCTGAACAAGCCCAGACCTGATCACATGGTTATGTAGTCCCTCCTACAACAAAGAGTTAAAGTCAAATTGTATACTAATACACACATATACAATACAGTAAGCAATTAAAGTAGAGTCTCACTTATCCCACATTAACGGGCCGGCAGAATGTTGGATAAGTGAAAATGTCGGATTATTTATTTATTTATTTACTTTACTTTACTTATATACGGAGGGATTAAGGAAAAGCATATTAAACGTCAAATTACGTTATGATTTTACAAATTAAGCAACAAAACATCATGTTTTACAACAAATCGACAGAAAAAACAGTTCAGTAAACAGTAATGTTGTGTAGTAATTACTGTATTTACAAATTTAGAACTAAAACAACCCAATGTATTGAAATAGCTGTGAATCCGGGCAGGAGGCAGACTGAGTTGGACAATACAGAACGTTGCATGGTTGAAGGTTGGATAAGCGAGACTCTACTATATATGCATAACAAACAACTAGTGGAGGCTTGAGAAGGTTGCTATTTCCAACTGTTCTTGAGCTGAGGATAAAGTTAATTGCTTTAGGCGACGTCTCCCCAAAGCTGAATAGACTTCTCTTCATCTGGACACAATACATATGGGTTGTTGTAGGTTTTTCGGGCTGTATGGCCATGTTCTAGAAGCATTCTCTCCTGACATTTCACCTGCATATATGGCAGGCATCCTCAGAGGTTGTGAGGTCTCAGAGGTTGTGAGGTCACAACCTCTGAGGGTGCCTACCATAGATGCAGGCAAAACGTCAAGAGAGAATGCCTCTAGAACATGGCCATACAGCCCAAAAAATCTACAACAACCCAGTGATTCCAGCCATGAAAGCCTTCGACAATATACAATACATATGGTGTCATGCCTCTCTTCCTGAGCACAGCAGTGTAACTAAGATACCAGGAAATGTGGTAGAATTATTGACTATAACCAACAAGCCACAAGAAAAACAACAAGGCACATTTGCAGCATGTCCAGACAAAACCATGCAACTGATGCCACCTGGTGTGATAACCACAACCTCCTGCCTTAACAGAGTACAGTGTTGTAGTTATAAATAAACCCAAGGAAATTTGAAAAAAAATTGAAGACAGCAACTAAAATAACAGCATGCACTTGTGGAACATGCAAACAAAATCATGCATTTGATGTCACCCAGTGTGGTAACCCCTGATGTCACCCTCCCTCCCGTGGACCTCCTGCCTTACCAGAGCAGACCACAATATTGAAGTTAGAATATCGAACATTTGACAAAATCAGTGATGATAACAAACCAGCAGCAACAAGAACAACAGTATGCACTTGTAACATATGCAGATTTTTGTGTGTGAGTGTGTCAGGAAAGGTTTCCCCTGATATTGAATCTAGTCTTGTCCACTGCATAGTTGAACCATAGATCTTTCAGTCCGCAAGTTCAGCAGCTGTTCAGCAGTTCAGCTCAGTGGTTTAACCTGCAGCACCATCATATGCCTTCATATGCAGATGGAATCACATGATTAATGTCACCTGGTGTGGTAACTCATGGTGTCAACCCCACTCATGGACCTCCTATCCTAATAGACCAGACCACACTCTTGTAGCTGAAATACCAGGTAATTTGACAAAATCGGAGAGGAGAAGGTCTTTGAAGGAAGAGGAGAAAGAAGAGGAAGAGAGAAGAAGACTTGTCCCACTGCTGCCAAGTGGGATTGTCAGATTTAAAAATGGATA